GTTCGCCAGACAGACAGAGACAGACAGAGAGACAGAAAGCGAGAAATCACCCCCCAGGGAGGATGGCCATGCTGCAATCCCTTCTCCTCCATTCTCCTCTCAGTACCTTGGCCCCGCAAGCATACGGGCCCCCAGCATGAGTTTTAAGCCACCGGCCGCTAACCGCAGTTGACTACATGGGAGTCCAGCGACATAGCCATTACGCTAACTGCTGGTCCCAATACTTAATTACTTTTTTTCTGGTTGGGTAATTGTCTGTTGTATGGCTATTTCAAATTTTGTTTATTCATCAATTGAGGGATATTTGGGTCATTTGGGAGCAGTGCTGATGCTATGAACATTTACATATAAGTTTTGTGTGGATATGTTTCAACTCTTTTGGTACACTTAACATTTTTTAATGTCTGTTTACCTTTTTTTATTTTTATTTTTTGTTGTAGGGCTCTAGAGAAAGTGAGAAAGGGCCACCCCATAGGGGACAGGGGATGGCCCTGCTGCAATCCCTTCTCCATTCTCTTCTTTGGATATTGGGCACACATGCATATGCACCGGTGTGTTTTTCAAACTACCATGTCCAGAACTCAAACTGTGAAGTCAGCCATGTGGGATCCAGCTAGCTTAACCACCAGCCACTACCTGGACCTCAGTTTACCTTTCTAATTAGGAAAAAAAAAAAAAAAAAAAACTAAGTTGAGGTTGGTGAATTTTTTTTTTTCTGTAAAGAGCAAAGAATAAATATTGTAGGCTTCATGGACCATATAACATTTCGTATATAGTTATTACAACTACTGAATCCTGCCACTGTAGCATGAATGCAGCCATTGACAGTGTGTAAACAAATGAGCATGACTATATCCCAATCAAACTCGAAACCAGCGGTGAGTGGGACTTAGCCTATGGGCTATAGTGTGCCAGTCCCCCAGTCTAAATGATGCACTCACATGAGGCAATGTTCCAAAAGTTCAAAAAGTGCAAATTCTTCCTCCCACTCCTGTCCCCCAGCCACTGGATTCCTCTCCTTAGATGCAGTTAATGTTATGCTATTGTCTCCTTGCAGAGACTGTTAATAATGAACATTTTTTTTCCAAAGACAAAATCAGAAGTTTTATTGACTGAGAAAATAAAGGGAAGCAATGGTTGCATAGGTTTCAATTCCAGCCAACAGGACAGTGGCCATCAGGAAAATAATAAACTCACTAAGTATTTTGGACATGTTCAATTATAATATTCAGGTAGTAGGTTTTATTGGAAATGTGGATCCAGAGCTGATAAACTTTATATTTAGGAGTCATCCACAAACAGGTTTGGGAGGGCAAGAATATGGTGTGACTGTTGATGTGGCTGGATCCCATGTGGCCAACTGCGTGGTTCATGTTCCTAACCCAGCAGCTTGAAAATGTCAGTGCGTGCCCCAATATCCATGGCCATTCCCCCTGGGAGGGTGCACTCTCACTTTATCTGTCTGTCTCTGGCAAGCAAACCTGCACTATGGCAAATTAAAAAAAAAATTATTCGTTGAGGAACAAATAATACATTGATAAGGGCATAGAGAATAATTTTAAGGGGACTGAGGAGAAGCAGCAATATTTAGAAGATAACTGAAGAAAAATGCTCCCCCCACAACACACTGCCTCCCCCCACCCAGTGCACAGGCCCTCTGGCAAATAAAAAGAAAACATACAGAATAGTATTAAGGGAATTTGTTGTCTGAAATAAGATTACATGTATGTATACTCAATATACATATATATAATAGTATATATGCCCTTCTTTCTTTTTCTTTGAGACATGGTCTTGCTATGTTGCTGGGGTACCTTCTCACTTTCCTCAAACTAACAGTCCTTTGCCTCAACCTCCCCAGTCTTGGACTATAGACATGCACATCTGATCCTGGCTTCTGCACTTTGTATAGTCTCCTCTTTTTTGAAAGGCTTTACTGTCTAGTCTCAAGCCAAACCTCCTCCTTCACAGCCCCCCACCTCTACTCATCAAGTGTTAAAAGATATCTTCCTAAGTTTCGAATTGTTCTCTTCTCCAGTAGAGTTCCACTCTGCAATTCCATTGCTTCATAAATCTGGCATGTGAGATTTTAAGTGGTCTGCTGCAGTTTTCTCTTCTTCAGTCAGTGGTGCCAGCTCGCCTGCTGAATCAAGGTGATTGGTCTTCATTTCATATTCCAGTCTACTGAATGTAATCAAGATCAGAGTCAACTTTCTGGAACTTGATTTCGACCCACGAGATCTCAAACATTTTCTGGAACTGGAACGAGATCTTGACTGCAAGCTGGAAGAACTTCTTTTTTTTTTTTGGAGAGGTTTTTGCTATAGGGCGCGTGCGCTCGCCAGACAGACAGAGAGAGAGACATACCCCCCAGGGGGGATGGTCACGCCGCAATCCCTTCTCCATTCTCCTCTCGGGATCTTGGGCACGCACGCACACGCGCCCGGCGTGAGATTTAAGCCACCGGGTCCGAGACGCGAACCGCGGTCGACTACGTGGGAGTCCAGCGACATAGCCATTACGCTAACTGCTGGTTCCCGGAAGAACTTCTTGAACGGGACCTGGACCTAGACCTTGAACTTGAGGGGGAGGATGAGTGTGATGAAGATCGTGAATGTGAAGATCGAGACTTTGAGCGACTTCGTCTACTAGATTTCTTTTTATTACTATCTTCTTCGCTGGCATCAAGATTATACTTTGAGAGATCAGCACCATCTTCATCCTCATCCTCATCTAATTTATATTTAGAAAGATCTTCATCCTCATCCTCTTCTTCGCCCTCAGATTCTTTATCTTCAACTTCCTTTAATATACATGCAGGACCAACCGCCTTTCCTCTGTATTTTTTCTTTTGATGTCCAAACTCATCATATTCACCATCAGATTCCTCCCTTTCTATTGTACTCAACATTTTCTCTTTCATTAAAACCACCACCATATCCTGTTCGTTCTTCTAATTTAGCATACCTTGGAGTATTACACATGTTAAACCCTGATCTTCTAGGCCAATTCACATTACTGCAAGTTTTGCATTGCCAATCATTAACACTGGACAGGCCTCGACTCTTTTCGGCAAGTGTCTTTCCTATTTCAGTTACCCCTGCTTTCATCATCTTGGCCTCAGTTGTTTTCTCCCTACCACACCGATTACAGCTGGTTCTTGTAGTGAAGTTTACATTTCCACATTTCTTGTCAGGGCAAATCCAGTCCCCGTCACTGACTTGGAAATTCTTGGTCGACATCTTGGAAGCCACCACCACAGTCACCCACAGCTACATCTTCACAGGAGGAAGCCGATAATGAACATTTTTAGAAGTAGCTACATAAAATTCCAATTCTGTGAAGATAGTGCAATAGACATGAAGGATTAGAATATATAAAAATGTGCCCTGAAAGACAGAACACTGAGGAGTGCTGCCCTGGGTTAGCCACCCATTTGATTCCTCCATCAGAACAATCTTTTTTACTCCTGAGATTTGCCCAGTTGTTTTGGGGCCTTGCCTAGTGAGTGCTTGGTGACCCCTTTGAGTCAAAAACAAGCCTTGGTAATGAAGAGATGCCAGATTTTCTCAGATGGTTTGTGTTTCAGTCATAGTTCCACCAGAGAAATACAACCACTAGGATACCTATCTATGTACCTATCACCTATCTATCTATCTATCTATCTATCTATCTATCTATCTATCTATCTATCTACCTACCTATCTACCTACCTACCTACCTATCTATCTTGCCAGGAATTGGCTTATGCAGTTGCAAGGGCTGGCTAGGCAAGTCTGAAATCTGTAGGGCAGGCAGTGAGGAAGGGAAGCCTGAAAAATCTCAGACAGGAGGTGACATTAAAGTCCACAGATAGTCTGTCTTCAGGGAAACCTCAGCCTTTTCATCTGGATGAGCCTGGCCAATCCTTCTTCCCAGAATAATCTCTTTTATTTAAAATTAACTGACTGTAGATGTGAATTATGTTTACAAAATACCTTCCCAGAAATACCTAGATTAGGTTTCGAGTAGCTAGATACTAGAGTCTAGCCAAATTGACAGAAAACTCTGTCACAGTCCACATCTCATTAACTTGGCAGCCATGCTTATCTCCTTAAACCATACTAATCTTCACATAGAGGCAATGACAAAGTCATACTTCTGCCCATGACAGTTACCCTGTGCACAACCGAAAATACATTTTTTTTCCCCTCAGATTCAAAGTCCTAGGGTGATGTCCACTCTTCTTGACAATCTAGTCACTTCAGTAATGTGATGTGAAATTAGTTATTATTAATATGTTTTATGTTAGATGACAAGGGAATCAAAGAGAGAAGAAGGCAAAATACATACACAGTTGACTTTTGAACAAAAGAGTTTGAATTCTGTAGGTCCACTTATAGGTGGATATATTTCAATACATATATTGGAAAATATGGCACAGGGACCAGCAGTTAGCGTAATGGCTATGTCGCTGGACTCCCATGTAGTCAACCGCAGTTCAAGTCCTGGACCCGGCAGCTTAAACTCACGCTGGGTGCGTGTGTGTGCGTGCCCAAGATCCCAAGAGGAGAATGGAGGAGAAGGGATTGTGGCATGGCCATCCCCCCCGGGGGGTGATTTCTCACTTTCTCTCTGTCTCTCTCTGTCTTTCTGGTGAGCACACACGCCCTATAATAAAAACCTCTCAAAAAAAAAAAAAGAAAGAAAGAAAATATGGTACAGCACTATGTCAGTATTTTCCTTATGATTTTCTTAATATTTTTCTAGCTTACATTATAAGAAAAAGTGTGTAATACATAGAACATACAAAAGCTGTGTTGATCAATTATGTTATAGGCAAAACTTCTGGTCAATAGTAGTTATTAGTAGCTAAGTTTTTGGGGAGTCAAAAGTTGGACTTTTTTCAACTGTGCAAGGGTCATTGCCCCTAACCTTTGTGGTATTCAAGAGTAGATTATTATAAGGACCAGCAGTTAGCGTAATGGCTATGTCACTGGACTCCCATGTAGTCGACTGCGGTTCACGTCCTGGACCCAGTGGCTTAAACTCACGCCGGGCACATGTGCATGCATGCCCAAGATCCCGAGAGGAGAATGGAGGAGAAGGGATTGTGGTGTGGCCATCCTCCCTGGGGGGTGATTTCTCGCTTTCTGTCTCTGTCTCTCTCTGTCTGGCAGGCACACGCATCCTATAGCAAAAACCTCTCCAAAAAAAAAAACGATTATTATTTTCACATATTTTAATAGACATTCATAACAATAAAGGAGTAAGTACTCATAATAATTACAGTCCCCATTTATGCAACTGGCCACACAGTTGTAGCTGGTATTTATAATGACCTTCTTCCACTGCCGCTGCCATGTTTCCCTTGTCCTCTGTAATCACCTCAGAACTGGTTGTAGACCTTTGCCTGGAAGGGATACTTCCAAACCTTGATGCCTGAATGGTCTGGGCAATTAGAAGTCTTACCTCAATTGGGTTGTTATGGTTTTCCATTTGCTTTAGTCTAAGAGTCACAGTACTAGGAGATGCCCTAAAGGATCTCCTATATCTTAGACATGTTTTTCTTTTCTCCATTTTATGTTAGCAGCCCAATTTCCTGTTGGTATTCAGGAGAATCACCTCAGTCAGTAAAGTAACTCCATTGTTTGCCTTTGGATTCAGAGGCATGATGAACCCAAAATGGCTGGTGGCACACCTGACTTCCAGTTCAATGGAGTAAGTGTTGTCTCCTGGTAAAAACATTTCTCCATTTGTAATGAAGACCTCGAGGTCATCAGAAATTAGGTCACAGGGATGGGAAGCAAAAATTTTACTACTGGATCACGAGGAGTGGTGTCATTCCATTTTCATTCTCATTTCCTGGAACTATGAATCCTAGCTGTGGGAGAAACAGCACCAGTAGAGCATATATGGTCTCCTGAAGGTCTTTGCCCCAGTCCTGCAAGGCAGTGCCACCAAGCTCTGTCATTGGGTCTTCAAAAGTCCCTTCAACCTTTCTATCAAGCCAGCTGCTTCAGGGTGATAAGGAACATGGTGGGAAACCAGTACCTTCCATGAGCCTGGGTCCATTGCTGTATTTCACTTGCCATGAAGTGAGTTCGTTCATCAGTTATCAGTGCTGGGTGGAAAAATATGGTGGTGGATACAGCATTCTGAAAGTGCACAGATGGCGGTTTTGGCAGAATCACTATGTGGAGGGAAAGTAAATCCTGATCCAGACTAAGTGACTGTTCTCATATGAATGAAGTACTGCCCTTTCCATGACCAAAGTAGTTCAGTATAATCAACCTGCTACAAGCCACTGGCTGGTTACTCCAGGGCATGGTGCTGGGTCTCAGTGCTGGTCTCTGCTGCTGTTAGGACAGGCATTCAGCAGTGGCTGTGGCCAGGTCAGTCATGGTGAGTGAAGCCTGTGTTGCTGAACACATGCATAACCTCCATCCCTGCCACCATGGCTACTTTGTTCATGAGCGCACTGGGCAATGACAGGGGTGTCTGAGGAAAGGCTGACTGGTATCCACAGTCACCTGATTATTAAATTCCTCCTCTGCTCCTTTGGTGAGCATACATATAAGACACAAATATCTTCATATTCCCCCCATACCCACCACACTCAGGCCTATGCCCTGGAGCTCCTCGTCAACCAATTTTCCAATCATGTTCATTCCAAGTTCCTGACTGTCTAAGCCAAATCATTGATCTCAGCTCCAATATTGGCATAGACTTAATACCTATGGCCTTTCTTCCAAGAGAAATGAACAACCAGGTGCACTGCTTGGTTATTCTCATTGGGAGGATTTACCTTGACCACTGTCATTCAAGGACAGCCCAGGTAGTGCTGTAGCTGTCCACTTTTGGATGGTACCTGCAAATTATCTGTTTATAGAGCCATCTGTAAGCCACCTGACCTTAGGGAACTCCCCATGGGGACTTAGGTGCAGGCTGAAAGAGAGAAGATAATGTGGCAGGAACAGGAGCTATGGGCATTTGGGCCACTTTTTCATGTAACTTCCTTGTGTCTTCAGGGTTAGCTTGTGTCTGATTTCCTGTATACCATTTCCATTTTATAATGTAGTCTGCTCTACATGCCCAACTTTATGGCACAATGGGCAACTCAGGTTACATGGTAATTTGGTAGTCCATGGTTAAA